CGATTTGTATTTGAGAACTGTTTGTTTTTAAACATTTCGGTCACAGTTTTATTTGACTTTTATGTGCAAGGCATTTGAATTGAAATATTTACAGTACGTCAGGCCAACTGGGTTATCTCAAGTTGGCACACTCACACATTCTGATGTCGGAATTCAGAGGGGGTGCCTATGTACATATTTTTAGCTGATATTTGAGCCATCCTGCTTGTGAAAAGCTGACGAGTCATGAGAAGTGTAAGCTGTGATTTATTGTGCAGTTTGGATAGCATTCGAAGGAAAAGGGAGTCAAAGAAAGACACTTGGATGATTTCCTCTCTCTTGCTCAACAGGCATGCAACAATGTGCGCACACAGAAGGAGCACTGTTGCTACGATCGCATTACACTCGGTCTTGCTTCACTAAGTCGCTCGTGTTCTGGAGATTTTTTTTTTTCGTCAAGAGGGGAGGTAGGGAGCGATATTGGGGAAATGGCAAGAAAAAAGCATCTGGCCACCAAATGCTGACGTCACTAGTCTAAAACATACAAGTGGCTTGAATTCAGGACCGCGCTATCTGACCAAAGGTTCCGCCTTACTCATACGTGGTCTGCACTGTGTTTTGCTTGCAATCATTCGAGTCTGTTCTATTGTTGTGCTTTCACAACCCTTTCCCGAAGAAAAAGTGTGTTCCTTGACAACGCTTTCACAACAAGATTTTGGTGCCCCGCCATGTGCATAAACAGAGAATGTGTCACTTGAATGCGGATTGTTTTTATTAATACTGTTAGTCACGATTTTCAAACAGATTAGTCTTGAATTCTGCCTCGCGACAAGCAACTCTTACTAGGAAATGGAGTCCCTTCTGTTTAACTACGTCGCCGTGCCCACTATGATGTTAATATTAAAAAGTTTTAACATGAATGTCTTCTCAAACAGTCAGTAATTATTCCCGGTATATTGACTGAATTCAACAAGATGGCAACTCTGCCTTTGTTTTAGTTTCATATGCAGAAGCGGGTTGATGGTCAAAGCTCATTAATGTGGACGTTTTCATCATTGAAACCTTTTGCCGTTTAAAGGGCAGGGTGGAGAAAAGGGCACGCAGTGTGATGTGATGGGTTGGGAGTGTTTAAGCAACATGACTGAAACACTTGAACCCAGTGAACAATTTTTGCCACGGCCTCCACTTGTTGCAGATGTTCGACTTTAACTTTTTTTAAAAAAACATTGTTTTCAGAGATAATAATGCTCAGTTTTGATGGACACTGACAGAGCGATAGTGTGATAATCTGTCATTTGTGATCCAACTGGTGTTGGATCTCATCACGTCTCCCCCCCAAAAAATAATCCGAAGTTGTCTACAGGCGATCGACGCCGTTCCCGTTTCTCTATTTGTGTGCTTACTGGAGCGTTTTACACAGGATGGGTGATCTTTTTTTTTTTTTTTTTTTAATGGGGAAAAAATAAACGCCACTATTAATTTCAATGACGAATCAGTAGGGCATAATTAAACAGTTATTTTTTTTTAGCAAAGTAAATTTCAATTGCCACGTAAAATGTTCTAGAATTACAACACTACCCTGTGACGACCCGTATAGCAGATACAATAGTTCCAATGACTACAAGTACCAAGAACAAAAAAGTACCTGGAACTGTCATTTTTCCTTGGTCCAGCAGAGCTCTATTATGTTTATATTTTGTGAGATCCGTTTCTGAATCATTAGAACAGTAAAAATATATCCATGGTCCAAAAAAAAAGGAGGGAGATTTAACAGAAAGCAGACAATAGTCTCAAACAAACTCTACCAAGCCAAAATTATCGCCACGTAGTCACCGCACCAAACAGGGAAACCTGAAATGTATCGCTATATTAATCCTCCACCTATCTGGAAACGCTCATGATTGCTTCATTAATTGATGAAGAACCGTGACCGGATACTTTTGACTTCAAAGTACGTTTACATAGATTAGATTTGACATTTAACGGCTGTGTGTTTGTGACAAGGGTGATTATTTTGATGAGCCAACCTGCACCCTAATGCAGCTGGTGCATCGACTTTGCAAGTGTAACCCGGCCTGACTCTCTCTCTCTCTCTCTCTCTCTCTCTCTCTCTCTCTCGCTCTCTCTCTCTGACACACATATCAAGTGAACACACCTCCTTTTCTTTCTATCGCGCCTTCTCTCTCGTGCTCGACATTTGTGCAAGGCAGGCGAGTGGCACACAAGTGGAGCTGAGCCGGGAAAGGACTCACACAAGGAGGAACTTTGTATTGGCGTCAGAAAATGGGCGAAAGGACGACATTTGTGCGCCTTTTGATGGGGTTTCTGCTCAGCGCCACAGGTATGTTTTAGTCCAGAATGCTCTTGACAAAGGTCCCAAAAATTCCAAATCAATCCGAAATGTATATTATTTCATCTGTGCTAGTGTAACTACTAAGAAGACATGGATACATACATAAAACATACATACATACTTAATCCACACTGGGAACTAAATAATTACTTTGCAAAATTAAAACAACACAGGGCAAAGGCGGCTGACGGAATTACTAATATTTTTAGGAACATAATGTCTGAAAATATATATATATTTTTGGGGTGGGGGGGTGCAGCACGGTGAGCGACTGGTTCGCGCGTCGGGCACACAGTGCGGGGAACTGAATAATTACTTTCCAAAATTAAAACAACACAGGGCAAAGGCGGCTTACGGAATTACTAATATTTTTAGGAACATAATGTCTTAAAATATATATTTATTTGGGGGGGAGTAGGGGGTGCAGCATGGTGAGCGACTGGTTCGCGCGTCGGGCACACAGTGCAGAAGTGCAAGTTTCGATTCTGGCTCTGGCCTTCCTGTTTGGAGTTTCCATGTTGTCCCCAAGCCTGCGTGGGTTTTCTCCGGGTACTCCGGTTTCCTCTCACATTCCAAAAACATGCATGGCAGGCTGATTAAACACTCTAAACTGTCCCGAGGTGTGAGTGTGAGTGTGTATGGTTGTTCGTCTATGTGTGCCCTGCCACTGGCGGGCAACCAGCTCAGGATGAAAGTCACCATTCCAGTGTGAACTGAGGGTCCGGGAATCAGATTAATCTTGATCAGTGCGCAATGTGTTGACAGTACAATACAGAGCTGAGGGGGATATGATGTTAGCGTTTCACTCCCAGGATGGAATTAAAAGGTCGCACGGCCTGAGGGAGGAAGGATTTCCTCAGTATGTCAGTAGAGCAGGGCAGTGACAGCCGCCTGTCACTGAAGGCGCTTCTCTGCCTGGAGATGGTGCTGATAGACAAAAGCGTGTTTACAAAATAGTTTTGTCCTACTTTTCCGAGCATGACTTTGTGCTCAATTTATCGAGTAGACCAAATTTTTGATTGATATTTAGCCCATCAGGCAGGAAAGTCTTGCTCTCTGGTCATCGTCATCCATGCTAACAGTTAGCGTGGACGGTCGCAGTTCTCGAACCCTCCAAGCAACCGATATAAGTGCGGTGAGAATAATCATTTCACTTCACGCAGGTGCCTGCTGCCCCATCGAGTTGAGCCCCCCCAGGGTGGCGGTGCGATACGGAGACCCCGTTTCCATCAACTGCAGCACCTCCGACCACCTGTACAAAGGGATGGGTTGGGAGTCTCCGCTGGGTGGCACGGGCCTGAAGCCTGTGCGCCATTTGACTTGGAGCGTGGACGCACTCACCAGGTGGCACATCTCGCCCGTGTGCTTCCTCAGCCCAGTGCCCAAAAGCGGACGAGACCAATGCTCCAAGAACCCAGACGTGGTCGTTTACAGTGAGTTTTATCGACGAGGGCTGGACAACACTAAGTTTTGAACTCATTTCATCATCACGTTTAGCAATCGGGATTTCAATATCAATCAAAAATAATCCAGCCTTATTCCACACTGGAATGGAACCATTGCGTGACGCTGTCTCATCACTTTTTGTCTTCTTTCTCCTTCAGCATCTCCACAAAATATCTCCATCCAAGCCAACAGATCTGTTGTCAAAGAAGGAGAGCCGGTTGAAGTGACGTGCATCATTAGGAGGATCGCGCCGATTCACCGCGTCATCGTGCGGTGGTACAGCAGCGATACGGTCATCACGGAAAGACGCGCTGAAGGGTCAACTGAAGGACTCGTTGATCTTCTTTTTGGCTACAACTATGAACATTTCAAGTCGTCTTCGGTACGGCAGCAGCAGCTTGTCAAGCTCAAATGCGAGGCGGTTTTGGACCTGCTGCCCGAGGGGCCGCAACTCAGTGCATTTTCACCCGAGTTGGAGCTCACAGTTGAATGTAAGTATACTGCATGTATGAGTATGGTACAAACTGAGACACACCATTTTTCGGACAGCTTGTCCCCTAAGAAGTAATGGAAGTGTAATTTTAATGTTTGTGTACAAATAGTTTGCACGGCATCAAATTTTGGTCTTCTTTTTATGAATTCGTCATGAAAGAGGGTGATGACGGCCCGTTCGTCGCTGCTTGCAGCATTCACCATTTTGCCGTTCCTTTTTCAGATGACATAGAAGACATCGAGCTCACGTGTCCAAGTAACTACACTGCAGTGGAGTACGCTCCTCACAACCTCTCCTGCTCCGTGGAAGGCGGATCTTCCGAATCTTTGATCACCTGGTACAAAGACGGAGAGGAGGTGGAGTTATCGGAGACACTGACGAGATACGACGCCGGGCAGTATGTCGTCGTTGCCACCTTGTCTTCAAGCATGGTCAATGCCACCGTGGATCTCAATGTTGTATGTGAGTCCATCGATTGTCTTGTCTTCAGTTGCCATTGACGATTACTTCCGCCACTCGGTACACTTAAACGCTGTTTGACAAAATTAATAACGGCAAATTGTTGTGATCAGATCCGCCCTCGCAGATAGAGGAGCTGGAAGATATTGAAGTGGAGCTGGGCTCCGAAATATACCTCCAGTGCGCCACCAGAGCCAACCCGCGACCCGAATACTCCTGGAGTGCACCCACTTTTCTGGACGTCACTCAGGTCAATGAAGATGGAGTTTCCCGTCTCCTGATACCCAATGTGGCTTCACACCACACGGGCGTCTACACTTGCTACGCCAGCAACGAAAGAGGAAGTGTCACTAAACAAGTCACAGTGAGTGTAAAAGGTGAGACTCACACACTCCCGAGAAGTCAAGTTTCTTTTTGTCGATGATGTTCGACCGAGATTTGAACCCAGATCTCATGAATATGTGTGTGTGTGTTGCCAGACATGCTAACCACTCTCACGCCATGCTCCTGATTCATTTTATTCTCTTTTTGTCGATGATGTTCGACCGAGATTTGAACCCAGATCTCATGAATATGTGGTGAATGTGTGGCAGACATGCTAACCACTCTCACGCCATGCTGCTTTTCATTTTATTCTGTGTGTGTGTGTGTGTGTGTGTGTGTGTGTGTGTGTGTGTGTGTGTGTGTGTGTGTGAGAGACAGAGTGCGAGCCCAACTGGTTTAGGTGTGCAAAAGGCTCGTGCATCTTGTCGCATCGGATGTGTGACGGAGAAGACCACTGCGGTGATGGGAGCGACGAAATCCAGTGTGGTAACAAAAAATAATTACTTTGTCAGCATCCACACTATGACCATATAATCATTGCATAGGTGGAATTCCGACTACTGAAGTGAAGCCTCAGTCAAGGGTTGACATCCCATCTGCGGCCGAACTATTGTACTGTTGATAGCCTTAAAGGAAATAGAAGTGTTTTGGGTACACTCAGGACTTGTTATTCGTATCCCGACGCCATTTTATATAAGTCCGCCCGGGCTGCAGCGAAATGTTCCATTAGTAACTGCGACGTGATTGCGCATGCGCAGTGTAGCAACTGCGTCCAGGCACTCGGAATAAGGAGAGGGGGGGAAACTAGAGGCAGGACCGCTGTTTCCTCTCCGGCGAGAGGAAGACTGAATAGCCCAGCATGTAGTTTTAGCTTCTTGCTCGGTCGCTCAACTGCCTCCGGGAGAAGCTGAACCACGCACACGGGAGAGAGACGCCGCCCGTTCCGCAGCCACCCTGGCGAGATAACGGAAGCCGGGAGAGAGCCGTTTCGAGTCCGGGGCGAGAAAACAACGAAGTCAAATGGATGATTTAAATTGGCTTCGTTTTATTTCAGTCTTCCTGACTTTGGAGTTGTCACTGTCTAAAACCGGAGCCAAGTCCAGTGAGTAAAAGGATTTCTTTTTATGCGAACGATAAAAATAAGACAGTTTTCTAAAAATAATCTTGCGGTTGTTTGCCTGTTTGGTGTGCAGAGGAGTCAGGCAGAGGAAGACCACGCATACATTTCAAACGCGTCTTTTAGCACAAGAACAAAGAGGCACAGATTGTTTGCGATGAAGAGTTGGAACTGTCTCTTTGTTAAAAACAACACCACCACCTAATATCCCTTCCAAGTGTTGCGTTTGTTTGTGAATTGAGGAATGTGGACTGAGGTGGTGGATGTTGGATTCAATGCCAGCACAAAGACCACAGGAGCAGACTTTCCTTTGGGAGGGTCTTTCCTTCCTGACTGCCTTCCTTTCCTGTTGGACCTTTCTTGATAAACAACTTGTGTTTTACAGGCTTTCAAATGTCAGCACTACAACAGCCGCATGTGTGTCCCGTGTTACCACACATCCCATTGTCGAGCCAAGTTACAGCACCTGTGCACGTTCCATCATCTTTATTGTTACTTCGCTCCGTTTGTGATATTTCGGTTTCTTTCCACTTGACTCTACAGGTGAGCATCATGAATGCCCCATTAGGATACAACCTGAGGCCCTGGTGCTCCAATACATGGGTGAAAGCCAGAATGCCACGTGCATGTTCACGAGCACAAGAAATGCCCGAACCATAGCCTGGGCCGGAGGGCCCGTCTTACACCACAACGAAACAACTTGGACTCCTGACACCCAAACAGACTGGGATCCTTCTCCTCACTGTGCCGTCTTCTTCCAGAATCAAATGATTTGCAAGAAGCCTCTTAACTTCATCCTCTACAGTGTGTATATATTTATTCTTTGAAGTCTAATGCAGTGTTTTCACATTCCTCATATTTGACTTTAAAAACTTACATGTCACACCACCAAACAAATGTCACAGATCTATACACAGGCAGACAAAAGTTGTAATCAGTTGGTCTATTTGTGACTAGTAGCTAAGTAAAATTGGACAATTTCCAGCAGCACACCTGATGAACTCTCCCAACACGGTGATTGGGGACCACTGCTTTAATGTGTATTTATGTCGTTTCGCTTTCTTACAATGACTACAACCAGAAATGCCCGACAGCATCACCATCCGTCCGGTCAACAAGTCGATCTTTTTGGAGGGCAAGCTGTGCCAGCTGCGTTGTGACATCACCAACGTGGCTCCCGCACAAAGCCTCATTGTGCGCTGGTATCACGGCAATCGAACCATTGAGCCATCAGTCAGAGGTAAGGAGCGTTCTTTTAGATCTTTGCCACGACTCGTGCTCTTCTGTGCTGATGTCATTAAAAAAAAAGCCAAAGAGAATCCTGTTGTGCTGCCTTGAAATATGATTTTAATTTTGTTCCGAGACGACAATCATAAATGAAAATTATGTATCTCGAATCATGTTGTCACAGTCCATCAAATATTCAAAATATATCAAAAAAAAATGCTGTGATGTTTTTAATTTAAAAAATCTCAATTTAATGTTATCGTTATAGATATTACTGACATCTCCAATCAAAATAAAAAAGAGCATCTAACGTTCCATTTTAAATTAAATTTCATATTTCATATTAACACAATTGTCAAACTTTCATTGTACTTTTTTTGAACCAATATTTTTAAAACTGTGATATCTTGTCATGTTAAACTTTTGTTGTTTAAATTTGGCCTTTAATTTGAAAAATATCTTCCAACATTTTGACTCGCTCTCGTAAACTTTCAGCTTGTTGTGATGCGTTTTTGTGCAAATCATAAATTTTTTTTCCCCCCCAAAAATGTCTTCCAGAGCCTCTGCGATTGGTCGACTGCCCACAAGATTCGAACACGTCGTGTGAACCGGGCGCCATCAGGACGCCGGTTAACGTGTTTGCCAGCGCCGGCTTCCTCCTCAACCGAACACATCACGAAGCAGCTTTAAGTTGCGAGGCGATTTTGGAGTTGGGACCGCTGGGACCACGGCTGTCACCCACCGTGATTTCACGTGCTGTCAGCTTCAGCGTGCACTGTGAGCGGATCTTTTCATGTCCACATTACAGTTTGCTCCTGCCATATCGCAGATTATGTTTTGTTTTGTGGAACATAGCACAATTTATCAACAGCTGTAAAACAGTGATTTATAGCAGCCATTTTTTATCGTGTTTTACAGCTTCAAACGGCACTACTAAATGTCAAAGAAACAGTCCTTGAGGATTCAATGCTGTCTTAAAAAATATTTTTGGCGTATCATATGTCTTTAAATGATGCGTACTCTTGCCTCGGACAGACAAACCGGTCATCAACACCACCAAGCTCCCGAGAGTCGTCCCGCTGTTCCGAGGTTACCCCGAGGAGCTCGTGTGCGAAGCAGACGGTCAGCCGCCTCCCGTCATCTACTGGTCAAGCGGCGTTGAAAACCCCTCTTGGGAGTCAAGAGACAACATCACCGTTTTTAAAGCAGGCCGCTACACCTGCAAGGCCGTCAATGACGTGGCGTCGGACGTCCACACGGTTGAAGTGGTCCCAAAAGGTAGTACCGCTACTAACGGGAACACAAAAACTCCTCAATGTCATCTTCCGCAACTTTTCTTCAAAGCTTTAAAGCCATGAGTGAAGGAAGAAAGAAAGAAAGAAAAAAAAATTGGTTACAAACTTACCTTCTTGGCTGACACGCTTCCTTCTACACCGAAGCATGACAGCTATCCATTTTTAACAACTAAAATGCATCTCGCCTAAATATATTCAGTCATTATTTTCTTTAAAGAAATGAAATAAAAACATTTTGAGACTTTCAATCTTGAGGTGACACAATGTTGCAAAGACCGAATTTTATGACACTGTCACGGGAAAAATAATGGGGGAAAAAAAACAAACTTGCATGTAAGGAGACAGTTCGAACATCACCGGGCTGACTGTTTTCTTTAAGTGCAAAACATGAATGACACTTATTGTTTGTCTTTGACGCAACTGGCGTCCAGCAAAGAGATATTTTGTCTCTTTTGTAATCATATGATAACAGAGAGAGGCACGAGATGACCTTTTTTTTTTTTTTTTACTGCCTGGAAATGTTTTTTTATGTGCATACAGTGAGAAATGTACCGATGGTTAAAATTGGCACGCCCACACATTGCAATTTATCCATTTATACTCTCTAAAATACGTCATTTCAAAAAACAAAACAGACGATTAATCTTTGCTGTGTTATATTGTTGCTACCGCAGAGGACTACCTGCCCCTCATCGCCGGATTCGTGGCGGCCACGGTGGTGGTCATCTCGGCCATTTTCCTCTTCATCTACTCCATCTATTACAAGAATACCAAGATGCGGCGCTACAGTCTGAAGAACCCCAAACTCAGCGGCCACAACGCCAACGTGGCGCACAACGGCTGGGACTTACAGTTCCCTATGACCAAGCTGTCGTGAACGGATCACGTCACCCCCACCACACACCGACGGACGAGCCGTCTGGGCGACTGACTCACAGTCATGTCTTCTTTCAGATTTGACTCTTTATCAGATACGTTTAAAGACTACGGCTTGTGCTGTCCGTGTCAGTATTTACTACTCTGGTTCACTGGATGGAGACGTTGCAAAGAAGGAGCCCAGGCAAGCTGGCTCTTGAATGTTTAGTAAGCACACAAAAAAATTTAATATAATTATGTAAATGGTTTGGATGCTTGCTTTCCTGCACCCGAACCCTTTGTGGTGCGGTTTGTGTGGGATCGTTTCACAAACTGAGCGTCTTGAGGAAGCGTGAGGTAACTAAGTGGTCTTTGCGGTTTGAACTGAGGAAGTGCACTACTTTTCTAAACCTATCAGTTGCGCTTGCCATGTGAAACATGAAGCGACGTGTGTAGATCACTGAGCCTTTTGTCCTTTTACGGTGCTTTCCTCTTACCCACTGTGCACTTGTACTTCTGTAGCCTTTCTCTCTCTCACTCTCTCTGTGCCTGGTGCAGCTTGGGAAATTCTCTCTGCTTTGTGGTCTGATGATTTTTCAATGAATGCGTGGCCTTAAATGCTATATTGAATATTTGATGTACTGTTAAATCTTTTTGTTTTTCAGAAGTGAACAAAAACCGCATTGTGGATGTAAATGTAGTGTCCCCATATTTGTGAATGTTGCTGTACATATTTATAACAGAGGATTTTTATCATTAAATATGTGACTTTTGAGCAAAGTTGCTTTCTTAACGTGTAGATTCAAAAGTTACTAAAATCACAACGTGTTTTACCTTAGTTTGTCAAGGTCAATATTAATTAGTTATTTGTCAGTGGAGTACAACGAGGACGATAAAAAAATGTGCTTGGCCGTGTCTTCATTGTATTATATAGTCTGAATCCATGTTTTTGTGCCAACATCAATTTGGTTTAGTAGGCGAATACCTTTAAATCATTACCGTGCTGCTTTCAAAGTCCCCCGGAAGAATGCAAAACTGAACGGAACAGGCGAGTTAATTACGTCCATTTCATTGTCGCAACATGTTGACACAATGACGCTGTAAGACGGATTTTTAATCTGTCGAAACATTTGCGCAAACTTTAACAATGACACATTTTGAGGTTTTACTTGCCGATTACTACTGGCGTCTTTATAAGCATTTCTAAGCAAGGCAGGGAACACTTGAACGCAACACTACTACTTTTACTTTCGGTGCTTTTATTTGATTGTGTGACGAGCCATCTTTTGTTTTGTTTGTCATCTAGTGTAAAGAACTACCTATTTTCCCCGCTTTTACGATGATAGTCATCCTATTGAGCTGCTTAATAGTGTATGCAGGTAAGTTGTTTTGATTTCCTGTTCTCTATTTATTCGCCTGTTAGCATTAGCTTAGCGCGTCGTAAATGCCCGTTTGTTTTCTCAACTTTTTGTGAGCTCCGTCTATTTTTGTTTGCGTGCTCACGGATTACCTGTGTTAGGATCAATTCTCCGTCATCTGTTCAATATTTTGTATGCGTTAAAACAGTGGCACTGCATGTTCACCAAGCTTGTGTCGTTTAAACCAGAACACACCCACCTTTAGAGGAATAAATTGGTGTACAGGCACGTACAGTATTTTACATTATAAAATTGTTACGACACACCATGAAACAAAAATGTCAAAGTATATACACTGAACTAATGATCTCGTCTCAATTTGCACTCGTTTACAAACATTTATAAACATATAACGTGTATTTGAAACAACCCCATAGCTTTCACTTCTTTTTAAATCGATCGTCCTTCATGCTGACAATGCAAAAACGCCCGAGTTAACGAATAGCATATGTATCTTAACCATTTAAGCAACGGGTATTTGAACACACTGTGGTCGCGCAACAGTTCTTAAGCACTATGATGATTGAAAGACGCTTGCGTTCTCAGGAAGTACGTTATTAGGAAGATTTTACTTGGCGAGTTCACGAGGCTGTAAGCCGCGATCTTGATATCAAGAAACGACCTGTGTATATCCGCATGTACGTGTGTCATACTGTCCCTAGGTTGCCAGGGCATGCAGTCGTGCAAACCAGAAAGCTGCATGCACTATTGCAACGAGTATAAGCACTATTTTACTTCTGTTCAGATCCTTGAAAAATCTAATTTAGGACAGAAACAGTATTGCAGCTTTGCTATTTCCCACCACTGCTGCCAAGATTTGCAGAAGAGGAGAGAAAAAGTTGAGTTCTTTGTTTGTACAATGCATTTAACCATCCTGCCTGTTTCCATCGTGCATGTGTGTTATTTCAGCAAAGCCTGCAAGCACTTCCTGCCCACTAGAAATAACTCCTAACTTTGTGCTGGTGCCTTTCGGCGGCTCCATCTCAGCTGTATGCAAGTCCTTATCCAGTCAATCGAAGGGAATGGGCTGGGAGTCGCCAGTTGGAGCCAAGGGACTGGTGAAGGGTGTGTCCAACCTCACCTTACAAATAGATTCGTTGCAACGTTGGTACGTGGATCCCATCTGCTTTGTCAATCTCAATGGTTCTCAGTGTACGAAGGATTTACCTGTCACCGTCTACAGTGAGTAGCCTTTTATTTGGAGTTAATAGTTTAACTTTCTTGCGTGCCTTAATTTGTCACTTCTCCTTGCAGAAATGCCGGACAATGTGTCCATATCGTTGGAGAGTCATGTTGGCCCCTTGTCAGAAGAGCAACTCTTTTCCGTGCGGTGTGAAGTCAATCAGATTGCGCCAATACATCACGTCTCTTTGGAATTGCTCAATGGCAATAAAAGAGTGGACAAGATATGGTTCAATGACACTGACGTCAAAGAGCCAGTTTCCAAATTAATTCGCTTCTTACTGTTATCCAAGAGAGAGTATAATGGAGCACAGTTCCACTGTGAGGCAAGGATCGACCTTGGCCCATTGGGGCGCCTTCCAGAGACGTCCTCGGAGCCGCTCGAGCTGATTGTGCATTGTAAGTCTATATCAAGTGAGGAAGCTGAACAACAAGGACAGGGCAGGACAAGAGCATCGTACCATGCAGTACTACTCCCTGTGAGGAAGAAATGTAGCGAGTAGCAAGTTGGACAACAGAAAAGGAGCATTTAGGATGCAGAAGGTAGCCAATAGGATTGGATTGGACAGGATGAAAGCATTTAGGATGACCGTGAGAATGAGATGCAGCAGCAAGTAGCAAATACGAAAGGATGGGAGAGAACATGACAAGAGTATGTACAATATGATGAGGCCAATGGGATAGGAGTGGGCATGACAGGAGTACCTAGAATTCACAAAGTAGTGATGAGTACAGGACAGGAGCATATATGAGATAGGACAGAACAAGATAGCGGCAACTATGACAGGATCGGATAGGACAAGAACACATAGCATGTGGAAAGTTTCAATTAGGAGAGGGCAGAAGCACTTAGGACATGAGTAAATAGGTCAGGACAGGAGCAGTGAGCCAGGCATTGCTATACTGTGTGAGAAAGTGATGCAACTGGTAGCAACTCGGACAGGACAGGACAGACAGGAGCAAAGTATGCAGAATGCACAAACTAGTGAACAGGAATAGACAGGACAGGAGCGAATTGGTTATGGAAAGTAGCAAATAGGACAGGACCGATCTGCACAAGAACACTTAAGACGGAGACAAATTGGACAGGGCGAGACGGGCAGAGCAGTACTACACCCTGATAGGAGAGGACAGGAGGACATTAGATGTGGAAAGTCAAATCAGACAGGAGCAAGTTGGACAGGACTGGAGAAGTGAGCCAAGGAGTACTACACCCTGTCAGGACAGGACGAGATAGGAGCCAATCAGAGCTAACTTGCACGCTGGGAACGGCGATCCACTTTCATTCTAAATGTAATCTTGTATCAACAGACGCGCCGACCTTCAGCCAACCAACAAACGAGACTCTGACGCTCCAAGTTGGCAGCCAAATGAGTTTAGATTGCAGCGCCTCAGGAAACCCACAGCCGGAATACAGCTGGAAGACGCCTTACACGTCTAAAGTGCTGACTGAAACTCAATCTGTTTTCAATTCCTCTTTCAAGCATCCAGGCACCTACGAGTGCACCGCCGCAAACTCTCAGGGAACCATCACCAAGCGCTTCACGGTCACCCAAGCTCCAAGTAAGCTCTGCTCTGCATCTTCACTTGGGCCCGACTGATCGGTCGATATTAGGCTTTTTCAAAATTATAATTTTAGGCCAGAATTTTGGTCGGGCCCTAATCTTTACCTTCCTGTCTGGCTAAACGTTGCGTAATTCTCACCTTGCGATTGCAATTTTAGCCGCCGGGGGACCATTGCTAGGATTTAAATTTCTGTGTTTGTTGTCATCATGCTCATTGGTTGCTGGGTGTCTCTCAGACAGAAACTTTATCGGAGTGCACCGTTGTGTAGTTCGCATTCTTGACGAGACAATAACGAAAACTCCCGTCTCCCGCAGGACCTCGAAGAACCTTGGCATTGGTGCTCGGACTGTTTGTGGGCCTGGCAGTCGTGCTCTGCATCCTGGGATATTTTTTTGTCACTCCCCAAGGGACGTATTCTTGCAAGAAGCAGAGTTATACTCCTGGATCCGCGACGTCAGATCCTATATGAGCCGTGCTTGTTTTTTTTTTCCTTTTTCTACATTTTTACAACTACAATTTTACTATGCAAGTGTGGCTCTGCATGAGCTTTTGTTTGACTGAGCTTTTTGTATTGTGTGTGTGTGTGTGTGTGTGTGTGTGTGTGCGTGCGTGCGTGCGTGCTGCGTAGCCTGGATAGAAATGCCTGTTTTGGGCTAATTTGCCAAAGAGACCAAGTGAAGTCCAATTTTCACTACTCAACCACAACTTCTGTGTTCCAAATTGCACATCCATCCATCTACGAGGTACAACTGTACAGTGTAGCCGCCGTGATTGCACTGTGTGCTCCATAATTTGGGGAATTTTGTGTTTTATTTTCTCTTTGTGTTTGGGGCACCTTTTTATATCATTGTTTGTAAACCTAATTGCATAATTTTCATCGGTTCAAGTTCACTTTTGTGAAGCTTGGTTCGGTTTTGCACTGTAAACACTGACCTGTGAATTTGCTTCTCCCCAGTGTGTTGTCAAGACAATCATCCATTTTGTTGTACTTGACAAGCATTAAATGGGCATCGATAGTGCTTTTAATGTCAAAAATGAAATGTGTTCTTGCATTTGTAAACTTTTGGATGGAACAAACGTTAAAAGGTGAATTAAAAGTTGAATTTTGAGAAACATTCAGAGAACAAAGATTTACTTTTTTTCATCCTTAATGAGTGGTCAGGCACAAGAGAGACACAAATATTTGTAGAAAAGTAATTTCCTTTATTGTTAAATATTTCCGGTAAAAGTACTGATTAGTCCCCGCAATACCTAAAAACGCCGCTAGGTGGTTGAGTTGCTCTGAAAACCTTTAAGACTTCAAAAGGTGAGTAGTTTTACTTGTTCGACTGACAGTTGAAAATAATTTTGCTTTATTTCAATTTAATGATTTTAATAGTGATACAAATCACTTGAATCAGCTTATTTGATTCCTCAATATGTCAATCCGTCACGAACAGTAGTACACTGATTACAGTTTCCTGTTGCCTCCCCATTACGTGTCTGGTGAATTGAAAGTGAGTAATTTTATTTACGTTTCATCATATAACAGTTCATTTGTTCAAATTTTCACACTGTTGTAACCGGCTAATCATGTTAAAATCTTAGTTTTTGAGTTTTTTTTAAATAGGTTACACAAATAGATGCACATTACATGACTTCCGATGGGGAAACTAGAGAATAACAAATAAACAGGAGCATGAGCTCACAGTGCCGCCAAACTTCATCTAAAAAATATCATTACTATTATTATGAGTTTAATGGAAAAAAAAAATTACCCAAGACTGCCAAAACATTTCTTCAGCAAGCCTCCTCCAATTGCACGTCACGACTTTTTTTCCATTGTTGGTCATCTGACTATCGTGAGCAAAACTGTCGACCACAAATGCGAGTTCAACTATTGCCTCACCAAGACTATCGCAAAAACAAAAAAAGCATTAATGTCGAACTTGAACCATGTCACAGACTTATTTTGACTTGTTATTCATATAACAGTTGAAAAAAAATTTTTTGAAGGCATGGGGCCTTTACCACCACTGACCTAATGTATTGTCAATTATGTAAACATTCTCAAGCGCTTGAAATAGTGATTCAACTTACTTGTTTTTGAATTGATTGTGTGCCAGCTTTTACCTTACTTCGGCCCCCTCTTGGCCCCCGCCTGCTGCTCTCATTCACTCACATGGTGCGAGGCCGCCATACTAATTAGAAGGGAATGCAAAGTTAGCCTGACTCCACTTTGCCCACTAGCACCGTTCCAATCCTTTTGTTTTAAGATCTTGAAAGTTCTATTTCACTGAAATGAAGTGATATATTCCTCATTTCGTTTGCTTCCCTCCATCCCCTTCATTCTTGTTCTGTGGCGTTTTCGCAGCTGCACACACACTGTAATGACACCACACAGCATCCAATGGTGTTGCATTTGTGCAGCATTCTGATCACAGTGTGACTCTGGGGTGCAACACAGCAACACCCACAAGCCTCCTGGCAGACACAGAAAGCACGTAGAAGTGAAAATAATAGTCATCATTCAAAATATGACCTCTTACCATTTTGTAAAACTGCATTAACATCATGTCCGAAATATGACAAGAGTCAGTGGGGATCTCCTTCCACCTGTCAAAACCCCCTCTTTCCCTTCGGTACCTCTGCTACACGCACACACACACAAAACACACCACACACACACTGAAGTCAGCTGGGATGAAGGGGGCCCTTGTCTCCACCAAGCATTGTTCCCTGCAGAGTTTGCCAGGCTTGTGTAACTTGGGATTTTTCTTATCCAGGGCTCCTTCACCATCAAGTGAACATGGCCAATGTGGAATCTCTGCGGTGGATTGCAGCACTGTGTATGTTTTGCTCAGGTAGGATGCTATTTTGTCCACTTGTACAACTTGGGGGTTTAGTGGCATGATCGTCAGTGCTCATGATGATTGATGCTAACCGATGTCATTCAAACGGAAGGTTATTAAAAGTGCATTCTGCATCTTTGCAGTTGTGCTGAGTTGACGACGTTTCGTTTTGCAGTATGAATATCAACACAATATAAAATCTCCGTAAAGTGCTTTATATGCTTTCTTATTTGGAATGTTGGAAAATTCCAGTTGACCTAATGTACTTGTTTGTGTGTGTTTTTTTAAACTCTTTTGGCACATTTTGCTAAAACTCGTGATCACTTTTTAAATCCCTCGATGTGGAAACAGCGCCCTCAAGTGGTGTATTTGTTAGACACATTTACATCTACAAGTTTTTCACTTGCTCTTTCAGCTGTTTGTTTATTGAACGGGACAAACAGTGAAACACGCAAAAGTCAAATGATAGCACTCCCGAGGACCATTGAGCAGATGTTCGTTAAGTCAGTGACGGAAGTTATAAAAGAAAAAAAAAAAGAGCCACTTTCACTTTTGCACCTTAGGACATTTATTGACTCCTACAATCGAACACAAAAACAAAAATGTATCCTTGTGTCTTTTACTTTTGTCCTAACTGCACTTCACAACAATCCATTTTATTCAGTTTGATAGCTGTAATCTAGAATAGAATGTTGTTGTTGTTGTTGTTGTTTTTTTTAATGAGAACCATGAAACAAAAAGGTCAAGTTCCCACGAAGCTATTTTGATTTGAGTTGACCAGTTCTTTTTTTTTTTTTTCTCAGTTTCAGGCGACGGCTGCTCCCTAATCCTCAAGCCCGCCAGGGTGGTGGTGGGCTTCGGGGAGCCGGTGTTGGTGAGTTGCGAGGCGACCCGGCCGGTGCGCGTGCTGGGCTGGGAGTCGGCCATCAGCGCCGCGCACACGCAGCAGGGCCCGAGCGTCCAATGGAAGGTGGACAGCCTCATCGACTGGATCGAGGAGCCCATCTGCTATGGGGTGTTCTTCACTGCGCCGCGCCAGTGCGAGGAGAAGCTCAACCTCGTCCTCTATAGTGAGATCACCATTTGACAGCGTGTACTGTTGATCACATCATGTGCACATGACTACAGCGCCCTGTATTTTGTTTGGTAGTATTTTACCATCTTTATTAAATGTGTTTTTACAATATTTGTTTTTAATATTCTCTTTTTGTTGACAAATTATTATTTCGTTAATTTTACATATTTTATTTCATATATATATATATATATATATTACATTTGTTCTAGACTTACAATTAATTTCAATAATTTCATTTCCTGTTTAAACAATATTCTTTTATTTTTTTCATTTCTTATTTTCATAATTGATTTTTAATATATTATAATGAATGATTATATTGTAGTCAGTTTAATGTATTTTAGCATTTGCCATTTTTATGTTTTTTTTTTTATAATCACAGTATCCAAGATATAAATTTTTGTCGTTCAAGATTTTTTAAATTGTATTTATTTTTTTTCACAGAAAACCCAGACAGCGTCACCATCACGGTAGTGAATCACACCGGGCCGATGGTGGCAGGAAAGGAGTACCAGCTCTTGTGTGAGGTCCAGAACGTTGCTCCCGTTCAGTACCTGAACTTGAGGTGGTACAGGGAGCGCATCGAGGTGCATAACCGCTCGTTTGCCGAGCTGACTTCTCCCTCGCCGGTGCAAATCTCCTCCATCTTCGTCATCACGCCCTCCGAGGCCGACGACGGCGCTCGGTACAGCTGCGTGGCTGAGTTGGAACTGGGACCGGAGGGACCTCAACCACCTCTGACTGTCACCTCTAAGCCGCTGAGAGCGTCTGTGCACTGTAAGTTCAAATCCCCTAAAAGCATTGCTTCATACGGCCTGGCATGCAGTTCTTAAAACAAATGCAACCTCAGAGAATGTTCAGTATCATGCTTTTTCCTGCAGGTAACTCAACAATCACTTTGAAGCTTTTTTTTTAAACATTCATTTTATTTTGTCATAACATTTGATATTATTATGTCCTCCAATGTAGTTCCTCCGATGTTCCAAAGTCCCGAGGCAGAAAGCGTGGATGTGTCAGTCGGTGGCGAAACAACGCTGAACTGCACCGCCACAGGGAACCCGACACCCGTCTACAGCTGGCAACCCGAGCCGGAGCCAAAACAGGAAGATGACCAAGGAGCTGTGCTCACTTCCTCCTCGTTGGTGCCTGGAACCTACACCTGCACCGCATCCAACTCGCTAGGGAAGAAGAGCAAGCAGTTCACTGTCAAAGCCAAGAGCAAAGCTAGACAGAAGGTGTGAACCAACCACCAGGGATTTTTACAACACATCCAGTATTTATGCAAAATTTGTCACAATTTTAACATAGATAGCTGTCTAGTGAGGCTTACAGTAGAGTGAACGTATTTCCTCAAATTGTTGCCGATGTCATTAGCTATGACTGATAACCACCGTGTGTCATCATGTATGCCATTACCACAACAGTCGGCAAATATGCAAAGCTGAAGTTCAACATGTGGATTCATCCATCTATTTTCTACACTGTAAGAATAAAGGTGCTAAATTTGTACCTTTCATGGTCCAATGGCTTGTGGTGTACTGTAAACAGAAGAATCAAAATGACGTTTTTGTACCGTAACAAAGGAATCAAATGTGTACAGTATATACAATAGAACATATAAGTGACTTGAACTTTATGTAAATAAATTCATTTTAATAACTCCAGGAAATAAAATGTATTAAATCAAATCCCATGAAGTTATAAACTGCTACGCTGCCATACCATCAATAGTCAACAGATGTCGCTGTGAAAGTTGAGAGAAATTCCATCGGCTCGCTGAGCGTCACGTGATCACAACATTAAATCAAGGCGAAAAACGCTTCCTTTCAGTCATGCCAGCAAAAGACCCTTGCAAAAAACAAGCTTGCGCCATCCAGGCGTGTTTACAAGGTATATCGCGGCTGAAAGACATCTTTATTGACAACATGTTTCCAAACGACTTGTGCACAATGCTAACTTAGTTCCATTCCGGCAGCTAACAAGTACGTGGAGAGCATGTGCGCGGATGTGATCGATGACATGCGACGGTGCTGCCGGATATATGGCGCAAACTCCCTCTGCTGCTCCGGTTTTAAAGATCCCGAACACACAGAGAGGAAACCCAGCACGTAGTTTCCAACGTAGCTTGTGGGACAACAGCTGGAAGCATCAGTGGCTGAAGTATAATTTATTGAATAAATATTTGAAGACATGAAATGGTTGTCACGTGACATTATTCATACGATGACAGTAATTTCAAACAGCAACTCGTTTTTATTTTACAGACGAGACGTGGTGTTTGAGAAGAGCAACACAACTTTCCTGGTGACGTCAGACGCATAACGTGTAGCGGAAACAAAGCTATTATCTTCCTGAGATAAATTATTGTAGTGCAATGATTTAAAATCTTGGCTTGTCTATATTTTTATATGAAAAAAAAACCCACGGGATGACTGTATTGTAAAATACAAATCTCTGAGCGAGAGAGGTTAAACAGTGCGCCATGTGACTTACGACGTAAACCGGAAATGCACCGCAGCAGTACTTTCTAGAATTTCTCGGCAGGGTAACGTTAGCTTCTCTAGCTCAGTTTTTGGTCTATTCAGTGGAGGCAAAAACGACGGCGCTTTGAAATCAAGCTTACTTCATTATTTAAGTTCTTTCACCCCGATTTATGATCATCAGCTCAACTTAGATTCATTTGGCCTTCGCTGTTTCGGCGGGTCCTACTAGCCTCCTAAAGCTAAACGCTACCTGCCTTGAGATTTTTCTATCATGTCCAGAATAGACTACAGCGTGTGGAACCACATTGAGGTGTCGGACGACGAAGATGACACCCACCCAAACATCGACACACCGAGCCTCTTCAGGTGGAGACACCAGGTACAAATTGATGATAGGATACGACAGAGATAGTCGATCCGTGATTTGGCTTTGAGTGATGTTGCGAGGCGTTTTGAAATCCATGATGTGTCTCACTGGACATTTCATTTGGTACGTAAGAGTACAATCGTTATGGAAACAAGCATTCCTCAGTCTAGCTGACTGGCAGAGATGTATCGCACTATGTGGTGTTGCACATCTAGATTCTTACTACTTGGACGATAGTTATGTAAAAAAGTAAAAGGCGGTGCCATATTATTAGACACATATTATGAAAAAAAATTGTGGCTGTTTATGTCACTGATATTGTCACGTGACTCACAATATGGCTGTTTCCACGCATGATTCAAACTGCACGCACAAGGTAATCTCTGCATTATTCCACTGGCGGCATTCATACATTTGTTTGCTAATTTTACGAATCCAATTCAAGGCGTTCTTTTCTCTTAACTTGTACCACTTGAAGAAAAAAAAAAAGATTTAAAAAAATCAGAGTTGTGTCACTTTAACAACGCAGTGTAAATACAGCCCGAAGCCAACTGTGAACTTTTCCAGGCCCGTGTGGAGCGAATGGAAGAATTCCAGCAAAAGACAAAAGACCTCAGCAAGGGACTCACCGAGTGCCGTCGCAAAGTGTCGGAAGTCCAAAAGAAAATCCAGGAGCTGAGCCTGTCGGTGACGGACGAAAGCAAGGCCGACCTGAGCAAAGCGCAAACGGAGGAGAAGAAACTGATGAAGGAGCAGCGCGACTGGGAGAGGAAGCTGGAAGATCACTCCCGGGAAGAGAAAAAGATGCCATGGAACGTGGACACCCTCAGCAAAGAAGGCTTCAGCAAGGTGGGACAACCCTGAGACGGTACACATACTGCGGTGCGTGAAAAAATGCACTTGATGATTCAATTAAAAGTATTGCACATCAAATTTCTTTTTAAGCTCTACCTAAATAATTGTTTGAAAGCAAATGGTTTCAAAACATTAAATTTTTAATGTATCGTATTGAAAGGTTCAATAAAATTTCAGTGAAATTAACAAATGCAATTTGCTGAGTTAAAAAATATATAATTAAACAAAGCATTGCAGCATTGTGCGCTGTTCATTTAATTCATAGATTCTTTTACATTCCACTAGAGGGCGCTGTTCACCACACCATGAGAGTCAAAGGGCACATTAAATTTTCAGATGCACATTCTACCCTTCCGGCTCAGTGTCACAGACAGAATATGGAAGCCATATTTATTTAAAGCACAGCAGTAAAATGCTCATTAACTATTAAACAGCATAATTTCATCCTTTAATAAATGTGACCTTAATCCAAATGGGTTTATCTCATAACATTCTGCCCTGACAATTCCTAAATGACACATTTATTATTTTATTTGTGAGCATGTTAAGTCATTTAGCCGCTGTTGTATGTTTCTAGGTGTGTTGTTGACATTGATATTCAATATTAATATTTTTGGGGTTTTATTTGGTGGGGTGGAAGTGCAAAAATGGTAACGTTACATACTGTGCTTCTAAGTGTGCTTGAATTAACCTCATCTATGTTTCTTCAGATAAGGCAGGAGTGCGATGCGTCTTTTCACAGGAAATTTCCACCGGCGGATGATAAGGTTCTCGAAACCAAACGTTTGTGGTTTCCTGATATATTTTTGGGTCTGTTTATGCAGAGTGTCGTGAACATCAAGCCCGAAGTGCTGGAGGAGTCCGAAGAGGACAAAGAGAAGAAGCATAAGACCTTTGTCGAAAAATATGAGAAGCAGATCAAACACTTTGGTGAGGAGAGGCCTCAGGCTCGGCGCTGGTTGCGTACTTCCTGCTGCGAGGTGTGCTCAATTCTCCCCCACTGTGTGTTGTCTTCCCCTCAGGCATGCTGCGGCGCTGGGATGACAGCCAGAAGTATTTGTCTGACAACCCTCATCTAGTGTGCGAGGAGACGGCCAACTACCTGGTCATTATGTGCATTGACCTTGAAGTGGAGGAGGTAATGCTCTCTGGCTTTTTCAGCTCCGCTATATTTATGTATGATGATGCATATGTATTTTTTTTTTATATTCGGGGCCACCGTAACTTCAGATATAGTTACATAAGCCGACATCCAAATAGCCCTCGAAGCACAAAACATCTGCTTTGGCCCCTTTCAATAGAAACACGCGTTGTTGGATCAAGTGGCTCATCAGACCATCGTCATGCAGTTCATTCTGGAGTTGGCAAAAACCCTCAAAGTGGACCCCCGAGGATGCTATCGTCAGTTTTTTGCCAAAATCAAGGTGGGCTGGCATGCCATCAAGCTGCGACTGAGAATACTGTTTGACCCCGGAAAAAAAAAAATCTATCTTTGGCACTTGGTTTCCTCCGCAGACGTCAGATCAGCAGTATCGCGATGCGTTCAATGACGAGATGGAGTCTTTCAAGGAGCGCGTGCGCGGTCGGGCCAAGATCCGGATCGAGAAGGCCATGAAGGAGTACGAGGAAGAGGAGCGACAGAAGCGCTTAGGACCGGGGGGGCTCGATCCTGTTGATGTGTATGAGACGCTACCAGAGGTAAGTCCTGTCAATTTCTAGAAATGTTCTACTTTCAAGTGCCTCACTTATGTTATTTTTTTTTCCTTTCCTGCAGGAGATGCAAAAATGCTTTGACGACAAGAACATCCAAATGTTGCAAGATGTTATTAGCAAGATGGATCCAACGGTAAGCGGCTTTCTGGTTACAACTGATAGGATGGGATGACGAAGCAGGAGCAAAGATATTTTTCTCGTCTGCATTCAAATGACCCGAAAGTAAAACCAATTTTGGAGTTAAACCAGAATGTTCTGGCCTCCAGTCAGGCGGGTCGTGTAGAAGGAGAACCACGAGTGTTGCATGGGGTACCTTCTCGTGGGATGCGATAGAATCATAGAATTAAATACAAATACAATTTACCACATTTAAATCATGAAATACAATCAGAGTGAAGCTTGTAGCTGTACAGCCTCGATCCACACCTCTTATTGTCACTATAAATAGTACAATTAAAAAACATGTAAATAACAAATTATCATTTTATTATTAAAGTGAAATTTCATTACTTTACTCGCATCATTTTTAAAATTTTAATTAATAGTGTACCCACCGATAATAGAAAGAATGAACTCCTCACGCTTTTTTTTCTGTTCTTTTTTTTTTGTGTCTTTTATTTTTTGGGGGGTGGTTCAGGAGGCTAAGTTGCACATGAAGCGCTGCATCGACTCTGGACTTTGGGTGCCCAACTCCAAGCCGGATGAAGGCGACAAGAACGACGAAGACGCCACCTACGAGGATGCTAAAGAGGAGACCGAAGAAGCCAAAAAGGACTGACCATCAGGGAGCACGTTTGCCATTTGACTTCATTAACCCCCGCTGCAAACTCATGGCCAACTCCATTAGGTGTGCGACTAGTTTGCCTCGTGGGTAAAACATTGAGCTAGATACACATAGCGAGCTTACCAGTAAAGGATTTGGCTGCCCTGCAACTCCTCTATTCTTGATGAATTTTGGTTGGGGAAATAATCACAGCATGTCTATTGTGTTCTTTTTCTTTGATATAATACTTGGACACCAAAATTATTCTGTACACTTGAGTATTATTGTTTTCTCTCATTTCCCCTTCAAACACGTGTGTTTGTTTTTAGATGTTGAGCCCGGTTGTACCACCAATTTTCTATAAACTTGTTCAAAGTGGACCCAACTTCTTGAGGTTCTTGTTGAATAAAGCAAACGGATTTTTTATCTCCCAAGTCACAAACACAATTTCACGTTGCAAAGAATTGAAGGTGAACGCGTGTGTTTGTAGTCAACACTTGAACCCTTTAAGGGACAGCGGTGACTACAGTGGACAGGTTATGTTTATTGGGTTACAGGGTGCATGAAAAGGTTAAAGGAATATTTTACACACTATTTCTCTTACTGCAATTAGTCCGTTTGAAAAAAAAAAGCCCCATCTTTCATCAATTTCACTAAGTTGCTCTACCAGTTCATTGCTAATTGAAGTCTTGTCAAAGTTCAAACAAAGGTTTTTACTTAAATGGAGCCACATGGCCTTGAGCAAGGGATGGCACACGTGTTTGGATTCAGTTTCAATTGAACTTTTTATATTGACGTATAGTTTACAGTAAATCACACCATAAAGCAAGTCTACGCCTTATAAATATGGCTGCTTGAAATCATTTTTAAACCCTGTGGTAAATTTAGGTTACACATAAATCACTATAGAACAACGCAAGGAAAATTCCTGGAAAATTCTTGTTTTGTCTTATCACAGACATTTTAAGTCATAGTGATTAGTTGCATCTCAACACAACAAAACTATTCATAAATCTTTGTAGTCAGAAAGAGGAAGAAGGGGGAAAAAAAGGTGAGCCATGACTCAGTGAGCGATTGCATCAAGCTTATTGTTTTGACAAAGCCAAGACCAAAGGAAAAGTCCTCTTGTGTTCTGCTGTAGTGTCACTCAAACCAACAGAAAACATCAATCCTGTTGCAACCCTATTGACTGAAATTAGAGTAACATGTTGAATTAATATTTAAATAAAACACTTGTGAAGCATTTCTTATAAGTACTTTTGACATTTTTCAGGTGGCTGACTGTGTGGATGAGCTGGTCAAATCAAATTATGTGATTGGCTATTCGCTCTTTTGAACAAAATATGAGAAAATAGTTTCATTTATGAAAGTATGGTGCCTCAATTATCTCTTTTTTTTCATAATTTTCCGTTTTCTGCCTTGGGTGGTGTGTGGGGCTTTTACGTCACTTCCGGGCTTGTTTGAGGAAGTCAACTGGTAAGAGGTTTCGAGACAGCGAATACGACATGGTGGGCTTAATGCTCAATGACTTTTGATGGAAGCCTTAACACCGATATATAGTTTTGAAACGGATAGCCCCGCAAAAAAAGATCGCCGTTGAAAGGTAAGCTTCTCGGCTTGGTCGTCTCAGTCATGACGGAGTCGCGGCAACAACGTTAAAGTAAAATGACGAGCTTTGCCAATGTAGTTTGTTGTCGACATACAACAGAGACGGTCGTGTTAAGATGTCATCTACGTGTGAACTCACTCATACTAATCACCACAATCTTTCCGGATACTGCCGAAACCCTCTATTTTTTGGACTTGTTTACATTTTTGAACCATAGTCACTAATACTTGTATTACCTTGGGTTGTTTTTTTATTTTTTTTCAAACTGATTGCTGAATTCGCATGTATCCTGACGCCAATTGTGGTACTGTACTTACTAGTGTTGTTCAAGTCTCATCAGAAATGTATTAAGAATTCTGTTTTCATTATTCAATTCCTTCTATCATCTGCTGTTTTGGAATAGTCACATTAACTGTAAAGAAAAACCAACATCGCGAACCATATTATGTTATTATTCACAAAGTGTTTACTGCTGGAGTGGCCATCTTTTTTGGGGGGGGCGGCTGGTGCAGTGCTATTTAATATTTTTCCCTCTATATTTCCCCCAAGAGACCAACCGGTCCACAATTTAGAGAGAGCAGGCCATTAATCTATTTATAACAAAGAGCAAACTCAACCAATGAGTGGTAGAGCTACGTGGTTGCCAGGTACAGTCAAGGGTCATGCTTGAAACACAAATGTTAGAATATTGGAATTCTTGTGGTCAATTTTATCCATTATATTCACACAGTTACAAGCAAATAACATGTCTGACAAGTCATTGCTGAGCATATCATCCACTGTCATGGTTTCATGAAATAAATTAAGTTGAGCAATGTTCAGGTTATTAGTGCGCATTTTTTCATTGAATCCTTCTATTTTTTTTCAAACTGATTGCTGAATTCGCATGTATCCTGACGCCAATTGTGGTACTGTACTTACTAGTGTTGTTCAAGTCTCATCAGAAATGTATTAAGAATTCTGTTTTCATTATTCAATTCCTTCTATCATCTGCTGTTTTGGAATAGTCACATTAACTGTAAAGAAAAACCAACATCGCGAACCATATTATGTTATTATTCACAAAGTGTTTACTGCTGGAGTGGCCATCTTTTTTGGGGGGGGCGGCTGGTGCAGTGCTATTTAATATTTTTCCCTCTATATTTCCCCCAAGAGACCAACCGGTCCACAATTTAGAGAGAGCAGGCCATTAATCTATTTATAACAAAGAGCAAACTCAACCAATGAGTGGTAGAGCTACGTGGTTGCCAGGTACAGTCAAGGGTCATGCTTGAAACACAAATGTTAGAATATTGGAATTCTTGTGGTCAATTTTATCCATTATATTCACACAGTTACAAGCAAATAACATGTCTGACAAGTCATTGCTGAGCATATCATCCACTGTCATGGTTTCATGAAATAAATTAAGTTGAGCAATGTTCAGGTTATTAGTGCGCATTTTTTCATTGAATCCTTCACTCTGGATGGTATGACAAACAATGACTTCTCAGTCACAGAAGGAGCTGTGACCATGTATAGTACATGCAACATCATAGTTTTATGACACAGTTACGTTCAGATGAATGTTTATGTTAAGCTGTAACGTGTTGTAGTTTATCACTAACCTACGCCTAACCTAACTGTGTGTGTGTGTGTGTGTGTGTCTGTAACAGGACTCTGCCGTCATGCCTGTAAGGAGGTGGTCCAAGCGTTCCAAGCGAAGGTCCTCAGCGCAGTCCCTGGTCACCCCTCAGGATGACGGCGTCCACGTCTACCTCTTCTGGAGCCCCAACAAAGAGCGTTATTTGTCGCACACAGCCGCAGAACGGGTCACCGCGGAGGAGCTGTGCATCTCAGCCGCAGAGGCTGTCGGTGAGAAGAATGACTATTAACCCAGACGCGAATAAAATCGTATTCAAATCAAGTTGTGTGAAGTGTGTAACCAAACTGTGTGTCTTAAACAGGGATAACGCCACTATTCCATGTGTTGTTTGCTCTGTATGACCCCATGTCATGCTGCTGGTACAGTCCAAATCACGTCTTTCACCCAAATGAGGGCTCCTGTCTTATTCTTCACTTCCGAATGAGGTAGATAACGTCATCATCGCACGCCACAAACCACCATTGTCTCACTGCAAACAGCTGTTTCCTCGTGTGCAGGTTTTACTTTCGCAATTGGCACGCATTTAATGACAAGGAGCCAGATGTGGCTCGTTTCACTGTAAAAAGTGAGACGCATGCTGACGACGATGGCCAACCGGTGCTGGAAATCAAATCGGTGGAGTATTTATTTGCCCAGGTGTGTGTCGGACCTCTCGCAGCACATTGCCTCGCCGGTACCCTGACAAGCCCCATCTCTTCCCAACAGGCCAAATATGACTTTGTGAATGAACTCTTTCCGATGGAGAAATTGAACTCAGAGGAGGAGCTGAGTCTCTTTAAAAACGAGAGCTTGGGCATGGCCATGCTCCACCTCATGCACCTGGCGCTGCAGACGGGCAGCACCTTGCAGCGTGTTGCAAAAAAGACCAGGTAATACCTTTCAGATAGGAACGCGTGCGCAATCTAATCAGCTGGAGCCAAAGTCCTGCTCTCATGACGTCATACTCGTCATTTTAGAGACAATCAAAACCGAGCTGCAAAGACGTGATAAGATTTGTGGAAAAAAAAAAGGTGTTGTAAAGTCATAATTTTACATGATGAATCTAGCCATTATATTACAGGCATCGTCTTTTTTTTTCTTTTTTTTTTTTTTTTAATCTTAGGGGAAAAAAATGTAAAAGTGCAAGGCTGGAGTAATAGAAGAAAAAAGTCATAAAATTGCAATATGGTCTTAAGTCTTATTTTTTGTGGAAAAGAAGGCAGAATAATATGAGAAAAAGAAACAATATTACAAGCATAAAATTTAAGAAAAGGTCATAATTCAATGAAATAATATTTTAAAAATATAATCATGATAAGAGTTAAGTCATGTGCTTTTTAGGAAAAAATAATAAAATAATAAATATCACCGGGAAGTCATATATTTTTAAAGAGAAAAGTAAAAAATAATACAGGAATATTGCTATTACAGTATATTACAAGGCTGAAGTCCGATACCAATATGCTTCAGAAAAAAAAACATTACAAGGAAAAGGTAATAATATTGCACTAATGAAGTCATACTATGAAGTCGTATTTTTCCAAGAATAAAAAGTTATAAAAAAAAAGTTATAATATTTCAAGGAAAAGCCACAACATAACAAGAAGTCCAGTTAAAATATTGTTAGAATAAAACGTCTTATTTTTTTTTAGCACAAAAAGGTAAAATTATATCACATTCTAATATTACAAGAAAAAAAAGTCATATCATAAGAATGTTTTTCTTTTTTTTTTTTAAACTAAAGTCATGACAAGAATAATTTCATACTGTTCGGGGAAAATCAAAGACAAAATTATATATGTATAATATATGTTTTTCTATATGAATCCAATTTGCTTTGTAAGTTTGTGAGTAAAATCTGAGGGCAGGGCATATAACAGTGGCGTGTCTTTCCAGCTTTATAAACTGCATCCCAAAGTCTTATGCCAAGCACATATCAGAAGACAAAGTCCTGACAAAGATGAGGCTCCGGTGGATGTTTGAACGATCCATGCGCACCTACCAGAATAATATGGAAGCAAAGAAGCCGGACGTGAAGGAAATTATCTGCAAGTATATCTATGCTCTCGAGTGCTTGGCGCCGCGTTTCGGCTCCGAGACCTTCGCTGTGCGCCACCTGAGGCTGGGCGGGGATGACGAACACACGAGTCCGGATGCTTCGAGGGACGGCGGGGCGGAAACCGTGCATGAGCTGATGGTATCTGCTAACACGGGGCTTCAGTGGAGGGAAATGATGGCCTCTGAGGTTTGTCATATTGTTGGAGGAAATGTTGATACTTCCTGCTTTTTCCTGACAATTCCACTTTTGCTCGTGTT